CTCTATATATTCCCAACCTCCTTAACAATCGTAGCATACACCAAAAATGCAATTACTGCAACCTTCGACACAATCGTACATTTTCGAAAAACAGCCATCAAAAGGGTAAATATTTGAATCATCACATGTATTCTTCATGTCAGCAACTAAATTATAAGGAGTTAAGAATAATTAAAAGTCCCTAATTCCAAACCAAGTTTACAGTGACGGGTTTTTTTTATTCATTGCTACGTCAACTGTAATTTTGATTTTCAAGTTAATATGGTTGCGTTCTTGAATAGCGATACATTATGAAGACATATAATCCAAAAAGGTATCCTGAATAAATAATCACCCATCAGTATAACTAGTAGTTGATATAAGAACATCATCAATTTTGATATAAATTTTTGTTGAATCTGAATTAAATACCATTACTCTTATATATACACTAATAGCTTCATGTTAATTTAGAGTAATCTCTTTTGTAATTGAATTTCCTGTGAACTTATGATAAGATATATCTATTTAAAATATAACATTATACCCACAATATTGCCAACTAATGTGGAAACTATGTCATTAGTAGACCATCCTTTCATAGTATTTATTGTTGACATTGATCGAGAATCAAAAGACTTCATATATAAAAATTAATAAAAACAACCTTTATCATAGCATGAATTACATCCAGCTGGGGGCATTCATGAATATATAACTTGAAATCTGAAATTCCAAATTTTTCAGAACTTGATAAAAATGATATTGAAACTGTACTGCCATAATGAAACTTTTAAAAATTGATAAGAAAGGATTCATCATACAGGTTGGAAACCGCGCATAAATTAGTTGTACTAGTGGTTGAATAAAAAGAGGCATGTGCTACTAAAGTATCACAATAAACTATGAAATAATTGGCATTCCAATAATCTATCCTATAATTTATAATGTTAGTACGTCCAAAAATTAAATTCTGCTTCAATTTTATAATGTGGCTGGATTTCGTAAGTCTTGAAATACATTGCACTATATTCAACAGGACTTTGATTATGTATAAATAACACATTGGATGCTCCGCAAGTTATAATTCTCGAATCATGAGCGTTATTTGAAATAACTTACCAACCTAAATAAATAATTGTATTTTATATTACCATTTATTGTTGTAAATGATTCGCTATGTGCTAATATTTTTGATTAAACTATTTAAAGTATTAGGAATAATGTAATTAAAGTAATACATGTTTGATATTTTGGTGGATTTTGAGGACCAATAATAAAGGGAATCATAAGAACTTTAAATATCTATTATTAATATTAGTGGAAAAATAAAAACCACAATAATATTCAGAAAAATAATAATACATTAAATTCTATAATTAAGTTTTGCTACTTCTGGCTAATATTCTAAGAATAGGACTTTTCTATCAATTCATATTCAAACAATATTTTTTTTTATATTTATTAATTAATGGAGATTCTAAATTAAAGAAAAAATAATAAAAGGATTTATCTTAGTAAAACATGTTCAAAAAAAATCCAAAAGAGATAATTTTACCAATTCTTATTATTCTTTTATTGTTAACTCTCAAATAGCCATTCTTTGAAATTTTTTAATATTCCTCATGTAATAAACCAATATGTTAAAAAAAAAATATTACAATATTACATCCCTATGCGGTATTTCACATTTATTCCATTATTGAAATCTTCATGATAAGAATTCAAATTGTTATATAATAATTAATTAAATTATGAGGACTGAATTTTAATTGGATATCACCTTTAAATTCAAACTATTATTTTATTTTGCCATAATTCTTTACCCTTGCCCCTTGTTATGGATTGCAGATAAATAGTCTTTAACCTAATCAATATTGGTCCATTTGAGTAGATATGGAGAATTAAAGAATTTATACTGAGGAAAAATTGTTGAGCGTTGATAACTGAATTGGAAAATTAAAAAATGAAAAACACTTACTTTAAAGGCTGAAACAAAAATTATTTTTTACTGCTTACTTTGGAGTATTTTTTGGTTTTAAAAATATTACCAGAATTTAAATTAAGAAGTCTCCTTTAACTATAACCAATTACAGAATTTTGATTTACCTTAATGTCCTTTTGTAGTTAATTCTCACATATTAAAAGTCATGTGCTTCTGTTATATCTTAAAGTTCATCAAACAGCAACTAATTTAGCTTTAACGTGATGTACTTTATTAGGACTGGAGACTTATCCAAATTCTTTGTTTATAGCTTGTCTTCTAAATCAGGATGAGAAAGTAAAATAAACTAGTATCCTTCATCATAAAATAATTTAATATAATTACTTTAAGTATTATCATATTACATAAATAACATCCTAATTTCATAGTACTCAATTAGATATTAAAAATATTCTTATTACCAGAATTCAAATAAAACTATTCCTTTGAGCAGTCATTCAATACAAATCACGTAATCAATAATTTATACTAAAAATATTAACAATTATGGCAAAAACGAGTAAAAAAATTCTTACAAATTAGTTCAAATTAATTTTATATTAAATCTATACATTTAATGTAAGAATTATTTCAATATCAATCGATATTTAAAACTTATTTAAAATTTTAAATTAATCTTTTGTTTTTGGATTACTATCGAAAATAAGTGATTTAATTTGAATGAAAAATTTTTTTTAATCAAATACATTAATTCCATTAAATTAATAGGGAATTGCTTGTTAGAAAACTTCTTTAAAATATATACAAAATGGAATTTTTTAAGGAACATTACTAGATAGTTATGGCTTAAAATACAAGCCTTTTTAATAATACCCAGTAATTATTATTATTAGAAATTATCTCGGTTACGCCATATCCCCTGTTAGAGTTCCCTTGCAGAAGCTTACTCTTGACTTTCATTATACTGATTGTTAAGGAATGAAAGAACTAAGCAAGGTGAATAGTAATAACAATATTTTATTATTTTTAGCAACTTTACATATCCTTACTTCCCAAATTTCTTAATCACATAATGCATTATGAATTAGAAATTTAAGTGAAAATTCCACACTTTATATCAAACATAGGTTTTTTAAGTTTTAGCTTGAGAATTTTGTTATTTAATTCTTTCTAATCATTATATATTATCTCAAATAATTAGTGGTAGTTGAAAATAAATGACCATGAGTTTATTAAACTTGGTCTTATAGATGTGAATATAGAAATTTTTAAATGATTAATTTTTTCAGTTTGTTGGTATTATTAATTTTTTACCAATTCATACTTTTCTTTTATTATAGATTTTATATCATATGACTTTAAGAGTTCAAAAATTCTAAAAATAATAGAATAAACTATAGGGTTAATGTACAGATTTTTCACCTATAAACATAAAATTAGAATTACAACTTCATATTATACTTCATAATTAAAATCATATATCAAGCATTCATTTGTTAAAATTATATGAAATACTTGTATAAATTTTCTCAATTTTAATTTTGTTTCATTATTGAAATTAAAGTTATTGAGCTTGATTTATTTTGTAAATTTTTAAACTAGTTATTGTTTTTTTCAATTAGGATATTTCTAAATTTTGGATTCAGAACATTCTTATATTGTTACAAAGTCTCTAATTATATTATTAGATTCGAAATCAATTCAGTAACTGAAGATGTGAAACTACAAAATTATTAATTAAATAAATGACAATCCTCAAGGTTAATTATTATATTTCTATTGAATTTTCATAGTTTTTGATGATTGATATAATAGAGTGCTTGATATTCAAATGGGTTTCATGAGCAAATTAATGTTTTCTTATTTTCATTAAATTTTTTTGAATTATAATATCATTTATCTAATCAATAATAGAGTAGTTTAATATATATGATAATTATTTGATTTTAATGAGATATAATACAAGATTTTGTTATCTTATTTTTCTATCTATCGGATATGGTATTGAAATAAAAAAATAGTTTTGGTTGATCGTCTTAATGCGATTATTTTATAGTCTTAATAGAATCAGTATTTATTTAATATTTAATTTTATTGATTAATTAAAATGAATTAATAGAAGAAACATGAAGGATTTACCTCGGATGATTCAGTCGACGATATGAGTGTTTAGAAAATTGAATCTTCTAATCGACAATCAACAATCAGATGCTCAAATTAAAAATCATCAGATGAAAGTATAACAGATATGATTAAAAAGATAAAAAAATAAATAAACAAGAAACAAATATGGAAAAGTAATTAATATATATAAGAGGGAAGAAAGATAGAAGAATTCGATTTTGAAATTTCGAATCTCTAATAAGAACTCGAATTATTGAAAGAAAGTCATAATAAAAAGAGAAAGAATAGAATAAATAGGAATAGAACTTAAAAATTAATTAAAACTATATTCTTAATGAAATTCAGAAGATGATTAAGAATATCATGAAATTTTTTGCGAAAAATTTGTTAAATAACACTAATTAAAAATAAAAAATAAGCTTCATGTTCAAAAAAATAATCTGATTATTCTTCCTTTGATTATAATCTAAATTAAATTTAGAATACATACCTTAAAATTAATCAATAAATTACCTTAATAAAACTTAAAAGATAAAAACAAAAATTAAAAAGTCAATCAAAAATTGAATCCTGAAATGTAATCGAGTAATGAATTTTCTATTTTTAGAAGTTTGATTCATTTTTCATCATGTAATATAAATCTAAAATATTTTGTCCTAATTTCAACTACCCTATAAATAAAAAAATGGATACAGCTTAATGTCATCGTAATAAATGAAACCTATTGAAATCCCTATTAATTTATTTTTATAATTTATAACTGAAAAATAGTAATTATCAATTTGGTAGCTTTATGATTATATTATGATATTGTTTTAATAAATAGAGGGTTATGNATGATAATTATTTGATTTTAATGAGATATAATACAAGATTTTGTTATCTTATTTTTATATCTATCGGATATGGTATTGAAATAAAAAAATAGTTTTGGTTGATCGTCTTAATGCGATTATTTTATAGTCTTAATAGAATCAGTATTTATTTAATATTTAATTTTATTGATTAATTAAAATGAATTAATAGAAGAAACATGAAGGATTTACCTCGGATGATTCAGTCGACGATATGAGTGTTTAGAAAATTGAATCTTCTAATCGACAATCAACAATCAGATGCTCAAATTAAAAATCATCAGATGAAAGTATAACAGATATGATTAAAAAGATAAAAAAATAAATAAACAAGAAACAAATATGGAAAAGTAATTAATATATATAAGAGGGAAGAAAGATAGAAGAATTCGATTTTGAAATTTCGAATCTCTAATAAGAACTCGAATTATTGAAAGAAAGTCATAATAAAAAGAGAAAGAATAGAATAAATAGGAATAGAACTTAAAAATTAATTAAAACTATATTCTTAATGAAATTCAGAAGATGATTAAGAATATCATGAAATTGTTTGCGAAAAATTTGTTAAATAACACTAATTAAAAATAAAAAATAAGCTTCATGTTCAAAAAAATAATCTGATTATTCTTCCTTTGATTATAATCTAAATTAAATTTAGAATACATACCTTAAAATTAATCAATAAATTACCTTAATAAAACTTAAAAGATAAAAACAAAAATTAAAAAGTCAATCAAAAATTGAATCCTGAAATGTAATCGAGTAATGAATTTTCTATTTTTAGAAGTTTGATTCATTTTTCATCATGTAATATAAATCTAAAATATTTTGTCCTAATTTCAACTACCCTATAAATAAAAAAATGGATACAGCTTAATGTCATCGTAATAAATGAAACCTATTGAAATCCCTATTAATTTATTTTTATAATTTATAACTGAAAAATAGTAATTATCAATTTGGTAGCTTTATGATTATATTATGATATTGTTTTAATAAATAGAGGGTTATGAACTGCTTCCTTAGAGTTGGAATAAAAAAAATAAGAATCTAGAAAGAAAAATTCATCAGTAAAAAATTAATAGCTACACACGTTAAGAAAATTAGTAAAACATTTATGTTATTTATTAAATAAAGAAACAGAAAATTGAATCTGATACATTAAATTAGAAATCTCATTTGAAGACAGAATAAAGCAGCTTTTAATTTAACTGGTGAAGAGATAGAAATTGTATAAGAATTTTAATCAATTTGTAAAATATTAGATTAATAAGAAAATTTAACAAAAGAACTAATTAATTATGATGATCCATTAGGATAGGTCAAATTACGAGAAATACTAACTGATAATATTGATATTATTACAGCAGCATGAAGTAAAATAATTGACCAGGGAAATGATAATTATTGATGAGTTAAAAGAAATTAATACACTATTTCACAATAAATAAAATGATCATAAAATTTTATTAAGATAGAAATTTAGCAATCATTTTATACCTCATTTAGCTGGAATCAATTCTATGGATGTATCACCCTTTTTTAAAACACTCTAGATTCTCAGATAGAGTAAAATGATTTCTTAGTTAAGATTGTCATTTAATTAAGAAGTATACCTTTTCAATATTTCCCTAAATTATAATTAATGAAAATGTAAAATTTGTCGAATGCTATATTTTATGTATATATTGGATAATACAATAAAAGTTTAAGAAAGATATAATCATGAAAAAATCTAAGATTTTCTCAGAATTTTTATTTTGCCTATAGTTGCAGCACTGCTTAAAAGTCAGAAGTGATATTTTGGAGCTGTATCAACTTCAATAAACTTTGCTTCTCTTTAATATGATCTCAAATCCTCATAACTCAGCATCGAGATTAACTCATACTCCAGTATTCTGGTAAAAATTAACATTTAGACTTATCATTAAAGAATAAATAATTATAGATTGTAGCCATCTATATCGATTTCCTGTCATAACCTCTAACTAAATCATAGCGCTTCATTTTGTTAGAAAACATCATTACTCTACAATTGCTTTTTTTTCATATTTTTTCACGCCCTCATTAATGCATCATTATGATTAATTCCTCTTCCTTTTCTTCTCCTTTTATCGTATTCCATTACTAAAATTCAATATATTTCATCTGTATCTTCAAAATTATTTTTGTTATATAGAGTTAGTAATTTCAGAATTAATTTTTTTTCAAAGAAAATGTTCTTCTTTCTTATTCTCCTTGAATTTTCAATATAGAATACATGCACTAAAAATGATTTTAGAGATAGATCAATTTTAAGGGGACATTACAAAGATGTAGCTTCGGACTCAAATGGTGGTTTTATGGCAAATGCCCGTGATATTGTCTTTTTTAATTATGGAGAGTTCTCAAGCCCTTTTGGAAATAACATTTATTCAAATTAATCCGATATATATTTTGGTTATGGAAGTTGTAGACGTTATTAATCAATGAATGTTAAATTTCGATAAATATATGAGATTAATACAATAAGGATTCGATTTTGGGATTAAGCCACACGAATATATTATTTTAAAATTTTCGCCACTTACAAGGAGGATAGCGATGAGGTGCAAATATATGATGGTAATGCAATAGGATTAGTAACAATAAATTTTTCTGCCCGATTGGTTTCAAAAATTCGAATATATTCACTGGGTAATAATTCACCGGATCATATCTAAGATGGGTACACTTCAATCATAAAAGTTCAAGCATATTTCTTTATGCCATCAGAAAAATGGAAATAGATGATTTGAATAATAAATTCATATATCGACTCATTAAGAATTGAAATATTTATAGCAATTAATAGGGTCTAAATGTCTGAATTTTTATTTCATATAATATTTGATTAGGTTTATAATTAGAATATTTGGAAATATTTGAAAATAAGATGATAATTTAATCCAAATAAAATGCTCGAATGTATGCCAATCAAATTAAAATTACAAGGATTGAGCTGAATATCACTGTTATATAATTTATAATAATGACGATTATAACATTCGAATTAAATTATCAAAATTGATTTGAGGTAAATATCTGTTAATATTTTTTTTAATTATCTTCACCCTATCACTCTTTTTATATATAGAAATTCAATAATTAATTTTAATTTGACTATCAGATATTATTCCTAAGTCTCATTTTTCCTTAGGCTCGATCATCTTGCATTCAAGAAGAATGTAACCAACAAATCTATTTGATAAATGTACTAATGTATTATTATTGATTTAGGGAGATTAAGGCATAAAGTTTTGGAATTACATTGAATTGAATTATAGGATTTGGTATCATTCATGAGTCCCTTACACTGGTCAATAAATTCTCTAAATATTTTATAATAATAAAAGCATCATGGACTCCAGATATTTAATACACACTTGGCACTTTACTATTTTTATTATCTCTCAATATTATGGAAATTGATAGAATTACATATTATTATCCTCTTACTAACTTTAGACTATTAAAATTGCGAATTCAATAACATCTATATTTTGTCATTTTCTAACTCTAAGTAATTTGCAATTTTCTGACATTTAAAGGCTCATTAAAACGTATTATTTATATCATTTCAGATTATATCATATTGTGTCTTTCTATAACAAAGTACATGTAGGTAATAAAAATAATAGGATAGAACGTTTCGGACAAGACTTGGACTGAAAGAAAAAATGCTGGCTGACGAACGATACATCAATATTACCCAAGCGGAGATCAATAAAGCCAAAAGCTTTTTGCTGCTAGGGACAAGTCAAGTAGAAAGTAATATTATGATTTGAGGGTTTTTAGAGCGAAGGAGACAGTTATCCAAAACATCCTCAAGATCTTTCAAGTTCTCTTCAGAGCAAAAATAAACCTATTTGTCCGTGGTTTATTAAATATGCAACTGAAAATATTACATATTATATAGAATAATAATAAACTTAAATCTTAGAGGATGGTATGTTTAATGTTTAATTAGGGCTTGCCTAATATCATCCGACAGGTTAAGAATTCAGAAAAGGAATTAAGAATCCTTATCTTGGGTTTGGAAATTGAAAGAAAAACTACTATTTTGAAGGTATTGTCAAATGAAGCCATAAATGAGATTGTTCTTACTCGCGGCTTTAACATTAAAAATTTGTAATACAAAGAATTTAAATTTAATCTTTGGGATGCAGAGGGTAAATTCAAAATTTTTATAAAAGCATCTAGAATTTTTGAGGAACTACTTTGAAAGGATAGATGCTTTGATATTTTCATTGATTCATCTGTTTAAATGGGTTTGAAAGATGAAAGTAAGGAGCTGAATATATTGTTTGTAGAGGTTAAACTCAAGAACGTACCCCTCTTGATATTTGCAAATAATCAAGACTTGGTATAAGCCCTTCCTACTGATGAGGCTAGTATTCCATCTATTTAAGATCTTAGATAGTTTGAAATTAAATAAAATCACTGATAGACAATGGTCTATCGGCCCATGTTCAGCGGAAACTCTAGAAAGATTGCAAGAAGGAATGGAATGGTTCATTAAGACTGTTTCAGATAAATGAATCTTAAATATTAAATATATTAAGCATCTGCATTCGAAAATGAAACCCATATCACATGTCTCATTCTAAGTGCCCAATCCCAATTTTACAATCAAATGTCTACTTCTGATACCAATCATTTCTGTTCAGTTTAATCTCAAATCTTTATTGCTCCAATTAACTTATCATTCACTAAGAATATGTTGAAGAATAAATCAAACTCCAACTAGATGCCTTCATTAATCAACTATAGATGTACTAGACATAAATAGAAATTCCCTTCTTGACTAATTATTAAAGATAAATCAGAAAAAGTCATTCAATTATCTTACAACAATTAAGAATTCTATCATAATAATTGTTCTAATTTCCAAGAATAAATTATTCATAACAAATAATTTAAGTATTTTTTTTAATAAAATAATTATAATATTAAGAAAAAGTGTACTATTCTAACTTATTAGACTATCTCCAGGTCCATTGGTGCGAATTAATTTCTATTTTAAAAGACAACTATCTAAATCTCCTAATTTTTTTCTAATGCAGTACTTAAAGATATAGTTTTATATTTACCTTTATTTAATCACATTAGATAGTTAAATGAATCAAAATTGAATTGAGTTTAAGTCTCTTTTTTGAAAAAAAACCTCATTTACTGTGAGATTATTGTGAACAAATAGAATAAAAGCCGTTTCTCTCAAAATACAAATATATCCTCTCACATTAATCAAGAATTAGCAAAAATAAAAGACACTCCTTAAAAAAATACTGACTATTAGAGAATTATCGATACTGAAAACTTCATTTCATTAAAAAATTTCTGTAAAGAACCACTTAAAAAGGCAAGGACTATTTTAAATGTCTAATGATTTCAGAGATCGCTAAGTTGTTTTACTTCATGCTGATTAAGGCGCCTCATAAAACTAAACTGCCATTTTACAAAGCCTAAATTAGTAGCCAATATGGAGTAACGGATCTGCAAATAGGTGCATACAAATTATGATAAAATTGTAACACTGACCCAATAGGATTTTAGGCTGCCAGCCTTCCTTTTACATTTGGAAAGTGTATTACAGGCTGGCTAGTAATATACTTACTATCCAATTTTCGCTTTACCGAGAAAATCTAGAGGACTAGTGGATCTTATTCTTCTTGTTCTATATTTGCTGTAGAACTCCTGGGGTTTGAAGATTTGATGCATAAAAGTTCTGTATGTCTTAATTTGGTTTTATCTATCTTTTTTAACATTAAGCGAAACAAACACTTTCTAATCTTTGAAATGCACTTTTTTGGTTTATTGACACTTGAAACCCTTAAATTAAATCAGTATAATTTCTAATTTGTATTAAATTTCAAAGCTCGAACATTATATGCATATAATAATATGATAGTTGCTATGTTGTAAGGTTTATTGTCAATTAATGGAATTAGCTGTAATGAATGGTAACTTAAACATGAGCCAATGAATTCAGAATAGACTAACTTAAAATACTTTGTATTGTGATAACGTTTCCACAAGTAGTTAAAAGTCCATACTTGTGTTCAAATAATTATTATAATAGTGTAAATACGTACAGTCTTTATAGCGTATACTGCAATATTAGTAGGACCTTTCCTACTTGAAAATTGAATTTCTGAATCTATCTTCGATGATGATAATCTATCTTCGAAATGTTCAGGTTGTGCGTTTTCAAGTTTGAACCTCAATTCTTAAACATCTTTCTACTTTTTGTAGTAAATGATACTACATCATTAAAGAGCATGTCGACCATGCAATGCAGCTTGCTTAAACTATAGTGTTCATGTTATTGATATAGCGATCCTCTATTCCTTTAAAATTATTCTTCTTTTTAAATTATAGCGCTTTGAGTGTTTTACTATAAAATTTGATGCCACAAACTTACTACTCAATGGCAATCCTTTTATTTCCTTACCGATATATATTTCACAGCACTTTTAGCATTAATTTTTAAAATATTATGGGGTGCTTTTTTGACTGATATTTTTACAGTTATCTCAGCAACCCTAATTGAATCGTTCTAGATGTTTCTTTAATAGCACCTTCTAAATGTGTTTATTTCAGTCTAATAACTTAACTGCTCTTTGAACTTCTTATAATCCTTATACTATTGAATTCAGAATGGCTGCTTTTCAACATTTGGATAAATTTTCAGACTATGTAAACCTTCTTCCTATATATATGAGACTAAAATAGACTGATATTTTCAGTTGTAAAGAATTAAAATTTACGCAACTTTGAAGGTGTCAAATTCAACTTGTGAAAAATTGCTCAGTAAGTGTTTGAAGTAGAAATCTGCATGCCCTGCCAGGAGCTACCAACATAAGATAATTTACTTTGACTCTACAATATCATTTTAATTATTGCCTCTATAGTAGTTGTGGAACTTTCTTAGAGAATCACACCGTTAAGAATTAGTTAGAGAGTTTATTTCTCCATGTACTTGCAATAATTGCTCAAGTGTTGTTTTAAATACCTAAAACTTATAAAACTTAATTAACAGTATTAACCGCTTTATGATGAAATGCATACCAGAGGCCATTCGTGTGATTCAGCAAAAGAATTTTTCAACATATTTCTGAATATATTATAACACCTCCCGAAATCTTTGTATTTTGTACTTAATGTAGAGGCATTAAATTCAGGAATTCTCAGAGAAATGTAATTATATATACATTTTTTTTTTTAGATCTTAACAAAAATAATTAATTGAGGTGCCTCCATAATCATCAGCGATTCTTATTTTAAACTACTTCAAGATTTATTTTAGACTCTTTAATCTAAAAGAATCTAGATAATAGAACTAACTATAATCTTTAAAAACACATTGTGAATAATTTTAAAGTTTGGTATACAAAAACTTTCGCAATAGATATAATATTTAAATAAACAAATTATCAAATCAGAAAAGTTCTAGCTGAATAAAATAAAGTCTATTCTCTAAATTAGTAATAGGTATTTAAAGATATGATCAGGAAGTCAAATTACTGTTATATGATATTCAGTAGCACTTCAAAGTTTTGAAGACATCTAAATAGTCATTGTAAATAATCAATATTGGAAAAAGTAATATTTAAGAGAAGATTGAAAATGTTAAGTTAAGTTTTTCACTCTAAAGTTGGATTAATAGCAATATCAAAAGATTCAACTAAAATTGCTTTGAAAAAATCAAATCTTCTATTATAATTTGGTCTGTTAAAACAGAATAGGAAGTAATCATTCTAAAGATGAATAGAGCTTATTATTTTACAATCTTATCATAAAAGATATCAAAAATAATTCTATCATTAATTTACTTGAGTGGAGATTAAAATTAATTTATTAAGACAGTAACTTAGGAACGAAAGAACTTTAACAAGCAGTAAGTTCCAAAGGAACTCAAATAATGAATTTTATTAATTCTTCTCCTGCTTTTAAAGTATGTTACTCACTTTAGTAGTGGCTTCAATAATTTAAGTATTTAGTTTTTGTAAAAGTTACACCATTTCATGCTTTTTTAATAGATTATTTAAAAAATACATAAGTAAGTCAATAGAATTTTTTGTATTTCTTTGATTGAAAACTCTAATAAGTTAATTGAGCTTTTTTTCTTTATAAGAAAATTTCTTTACTAGTTTACAGTTTTTTTTTTTCTAATATTTTACATAAATGCTAATTTTAATCAATTTTAATAAGAATTCGATTATATGAAGCTATTGAAAATCATGCATATTGTATTTAATTTGGAATAGAAGTTTAGAGTGAAGCATGAAATGATTGTGAAGTAGCTATAGTACTGGAATTGGATGGCAAATAAGTTCAAACTATAAATTTGGGATACTGCATATTAGGAAGCATTCAAATCTATCAAGTGACAGTATTATAGATCAACTGTGTGAGCAATTTAAATCTATGATGTTAGCAGAAGAGAATTATTCGAAAATTTCAGAGAATGGAAAAGAGTGTTGCATCCAAGGAACAGAACGTAATTAATAGTGTTAGTTGGAAATAAAGTAAATTTAGAAAAATAGTGTAATATACATAATATAAACTGCGTAAGGTTTCCGAATCTGAAGGATAGTAAATCGCGAATGAAATAAATCTATAGTTTATTGAAACAAGTGCAAAGGATAATTTCAAACATAATTAAAGTAATTTCTAAATTATATTTCAGACATTCTCCTAAGCAGCATCATAAGTACTTAAAGTCGTATAGATTAATCAACAGGAGGGTGAACTGCGTGGACTCCAAGTTGGAAAACTATTAACTAAACATAACTTTAACAATACCGTTTTTTTGAATATATATGTTGCTGAAAAATATAGTAATTATATATCTTTATTGCAAACAATTATAAAAATTAAAAATTTATGAGTAACTCTATAATTCTAACAAATTTTTTCAAAGATCTAGTTGTAATAGAATATACTGACCTTCATGCAATCAGTAAAAGAGTAATTGATACTTTAAATATTTTATTCATACATATTCTAATAAGCAAGCTAGATTATACTAGAACAGAAATCAATAATTTAAACTAATCCATATAGCTAATTATCCATTATATATGTATGGCAATTTGTATCATAAAAGATAGAAAAATTTCAGAGTCTAAAAATCATAGCTATAAATTATATATATAGAGAATGATATTTTTCAAATGACAAACAACTTAATCCAGTAAAGTTTAGGTTCAACTTACCATTTATATCCCTTGGCTTGATAAATTCATATATTCTGATGTTTAAGTATTCATTCACTTTATTTAGTTGAGCATTCTCTAGATTCATGAACTATGGTTCTAAACTCCAATTCTTAGCAACAACAATTAAAGTAAGCACTTTAATAATATTATTAATAGATGCAGCCAAACATAGATTAGCAACGCAACATATAGCGAACCTGAGAGAGATAAAATATAACAAGTTACTTAAAACTTGCCTTTCTATATTGCTAATACCAGTGGAATATGGAGATTGATTTCTAAAAACAAAACGATGAGTAATGAACCTTCAGTAAATAGAAAGGGGGGTGTTTGAACAACTCAGGAAAGATTAAGAATAACAAGCTGGCGCATAGCCAATAGTAGAAGAGAGAATAGTCTCAGATTAAGAATCGGCACGAAGTCATCACTAATTCTGCAAGCTAGAGATGAACTAATAAAATGACATAGTCATTAAAAAATGGTGGAAGCTTTCATAAAGGATATTGAGAGAGTTAATCCTAAAAGATAAATAAGAGATATTAATCTGATACCTAGTAATAATTGTATTTAGGGACTAAAATATAATGTTATCGATTTTGGACTAGGGGAACAATTTAAAGCTCTTCTCAAATCTGAATTGGAACTTTATAGAGGAATCTCAAAAATTCACTGAAATGGATAATAGGCTGACGAAAGTACTATATCTGGTAGAAATTAAAAAAGAGATATTTAGAGATAATAATATTAATAATAATTTGATGTTGAATGATATGTTATTGTGGGTGGCCTCTTCTTATCGCAAGGTCCACACTTGCCAAACAGGAGTTTTTAAATATTTCAGTATCTTTCTCTACTAGAGAAAAAAATGGGCAAATCATAAACTCATCGAATGCTAATCTTGCTAAACCAAAGGTGTTGAGTAACTCATTCATTATCATCACTATCTGCTTAACCTCCTCCTTCTCCTAGATTATTTTAAAATACCTTTTCAGATTGTCATAGAACGTTATTCTGATTTCTACAAACTTAATCTGATTTTATTGATTTAAAAGGAATATTGTATCCGATCCATTATAAAGCGCGTCCAATAACCNAATTATCCATTATATATGTATGGCAATTTGTATCATAAAAGATAGAAAAATTTCAGAGTCTAAAAATCATAGCTATAAATTATATATATAGAGAATGATATTTTTCAAATGACAAACAACTTAATCCAGTAAAGTTTAGGTTCAACTTACCATTTATATCCCTTGGCTTGATAAATTCATATATTCTGATGTTTAAGTATTCATTCACTTTATTTAGTTGAGCATTCTCTAGATTCATGAACTATGGTTCTAAACTCCAATTCTTAGCAACAACAATTAAAGTAAGCACTTTAATAATATTATTAATAGATGCAGCCAAACATAGATTAGCAACGCAACATATAGCGAACCTGAGAGAGATAAAATATAACAAGTTACTTAAAACTTGCCTTTCTATATTGCTAATACCAGTGGAATATGGAGATTGATTTCTAAAAACAAAACGATGAGTAATGAACCTTCAGTAAATAGAAAGGGGGGTGTTTGAACAACTCAGGAAAGATTAAGAATAACAAGCTGGCGCATAGCCAATAGTAGAAGAGAGAATAGTCTCAGATTAAGAATCGGCACGAAGTCATCACTAATTCTGCAAGCTAGAGATGAACTAATAAAATGACATAGTCATTAAAAAATGGTGGAAGCTTTCATAAAGGATATTGAGAGAGTTAATCCTAAAAGATAAATAAGAGATATTAATCTGATACCTAGTAATAATTGTATTTAGGGACTAAAATATAATGTTATCGATTTTGGACTAGGGGAACAATTTAAAGCTCTTCTCAAATCTGAATTGGAACTTTATAGAGGAATCTCAAAAATTCACTGAAATGGATAATAGGCTGACGAAAGTACTATATCTGGTAGAAATTAAAAAAGAGATATTTAGAGATAATAATATTAATAATATTTTGATGTTGAATGATATGTTGTTGTGGGTGGCCTCTTCTTATCACACGGTCCACACTTGCCAAACAGGAGTTTTTAAATATTTCAGTATCTTTCTCTACTAGAGAAAAAAATGGGCAAATCATAAACTCATCGAATGCTAATCTTGCTAAACCAAAGGTGTTGAGTAACTCATTCATTATCATCACTATCTGCTTAACCTCCTCCTTCTCCTAGATTATTTTAAAATACCTTTTCAGATTGTCATAGAACGTTATTCTGATTTCTACAAACTTAATCTGATTTTATTGATTTAAAAAGAATATTGTATCCGATCCATTATAAAGCGCGTCCAATAACCCTTTGTAGTTTGCTTCTAAGGAATCAATATGTTACTCATTCTCTGATTATGTAAATTTCAAAGCTTTAACCACCTTGAGCTTTAACTCATATATTAACCTCACCTTTTCATTTTCATATCTTTGCCAATGGTATTTGTGTCCAATTTAATGTATTCATAATTCAACTTCGTAAACAATCTCAAGTACTATTGGTACCATACTACTCCGCGAATTTCAACAAGCCTCCAGGAAATATCTTCTTTGGTAAAAGGTAGTTTTCCATAATTAACCGTTTAAGCAATTACTAAGGCCTATTCAATTACTTTAATATCCTCCAGCTCTCTCGCTTTCTGCGACACGGGTGGCTGAGCGAAGCAGTCACTTAACTTTCCACTCTAAGCTTCCTCAATCTCTCCTTGCTTTGTTAAGATTCTTGGTCTGACATCCTTTTCTCAATTATCGGCTGTTTGATCTTCTACTATTACGCTGCTTACTATTATTCCAAAAGAAGCTGGAATATACTTCTTTCTCATCTAAGAACTCTCTCTAAAGTTATCCCTACTGGACTTCTTAATTTTGTTGTCATTAATTTCCTCCTACCTCTGGCAATACTTATGAAATGTGACCAATCCTATTGAATTAACTAAATCTGGTCTTTGTTCTGATCCTCATAATAAGCATCTAGACTCTCAATC